GGTGTCTGGTCTTGTGCTGGGGACAGTGGTTAAAATATTTGAAAGCTAGCCCTCCCCGGGAGGGAAAGACCGTTCCTAAAAGAATCCAGGGGCACCTGGGTGGCTCAGTTGATTAAGCATCGGACTTTTGATCTCAGCTCAGGTCTTGATCTCAGGGTTTTGAGCTCAAGCCCCATGATGGGCTCTATGCTGGGCATGCGGCCTACTTAAGATAAGAATAATAGTAGGGATGCCTGGATGGCTCAGCGGTTTAGCCTCTGCCTTCAGCTCAGGGTGTGACCCTGGAGTCTCAAGATGGAGTCCACATCGGGCTCCCTGCATGGAGCCTGCTTCTCCCTCTGCCTGTGTCTCTGCCTCTCTCTGTGTATCTCTCATGAATAAATAAAAATAAAATTTAAAAAGATAATAGTAGTAGTAGTAATAATAATAATAAAAGAAGGGTTTAGATGTCTTTCTCTGGTCTGTCAATAAGTCATCTTTGTAATAGATCAAAAGCATATGTGGGTATTAACACTTTTATTATCAAAAATCTTTTTTACTACAAAAGCAGTGCATGTTAATTTGCTGAAAACCCAGAGAAGCAAAAAGGAAACATAAAAAACACCACAACCTCCCCCCCCCTACAATCTGCACGTTTACATTAACAGCCAATTGTTGAACAGTATAAGCTAGGCACAGTGCTAAGCCTATTATGCGCAATTTTAAATTAAATCCACACAACCCTATACAACAAGTACTATTTAAATCTCTAACAAATGATTAAACAGTTTCAGGGTAAGTGTATAGCCAATAAGAAGCACCCATGCCTCTCAACTTGGACTATAAGACTTTATTCTCTGTTAAGGGACCTTCAGGCAGCAGAGATGATATTTGGGAGCTGGGAGCCCTTTCCAGCCCCAAAATTCCAATCCCTTAGCAGCCTCCGTCTCTAGAATCCTCTGCCTGGTTGGACACCACTGTCCACACCCACCTGCCCACCTGTGCCAGCTTCTGCAGTTGCTTTGTCTTTGCCAGCTGCCATAGCAACACATTTGCATGTGATCTTTGGGGCTTCTACACAGCCTGGACAGAACTCTTGCTGGTAGGGCCACTGATACAGGAGCCAGAGGTCCTGCTTATCACTACCTTGCAAGGTGACCTTGGACAAGATCCTAGGGAGTCCCTATCTCTCATGGGAATAATAGCAATCAGTTTTTTCCTGTGGTTCTAAAGGAGATAAAGTATACAAGACCAGCCAGATAGTTTAAAGATTTATTTATTTTAGAGAGGAGAGAGTGCCCACAAGCGGGGCCAAGGCAGGTGGGGGCAGAAGGAGAGGAAGAAAGAGAGAATCTCAAGCGGACTCATTGTGGAGCACAAAGCCTGACACAGGGCTCCATCTCAGGACTCTGAGATCATCATGACCTCAGCTGAAATCAAGAGTCAGACACTTAACCAACTGAGCCACCCAGGTGCCCTAAGACCACCCAGATAGTCTAAATGTCATATATTAGACAGTTACTAAAATAAATAAATAAATAAAATAAATAATAGTTACTAAGAAGGCAAGAGAAAGTTGTATATAACATATTTACAAGTTCAAAGGGCATTTGATAACACGAGATTATGAGGCTGACCAACTGATACCAAAGCTGCAGAACAGGGAAAGGCAATGCATATTGACAGAAAATTTACCTGACATGCCAACTCAGAGTAGGTAAGTTCCCCGTGACATTGGATGGGGGGAAGCTGGAACCCTACGGGTGAGAGTGAGATTGGGCTAGCGTCAGGGGAGCCTGCACTGAGAACAGAATCTTGATCTCTCATCTGCTCTGAGGCAACCCTTCCTGGAAGAGCCTGAGTCCCATAATTCCAGCCTGTCTATTTTGGACTTTTTGGAACCTGGGGAAACACCCTGGACTTTGTTTCTTTGAATCTCAGAATAAGAAGACTAAACTGAGGGACGCTTGGGTGGCTAAGCATCTGCCTTCAGCTCAGGTCATGATGCCAGGGTTCTGGGATGGAGCCCCACATTGTCGGGCTCCCTGCTCAGCAAGAAGTCTGCTTCTCCCTCTCCCTCTGCTACTACCCCTTGCTTGTGCTCTTTCTCTCTTTCTGTTAAATAAATAAATAAGTAAAATCTTAAAAAAAAAAAAAAAAAAAGACTAAACAGAAATAAGAGAAGAGAGTGGGCCAAGGTGTGGCTGTCCAAACCAGAGGGTGAGTCCTTCTGATTTCCACACCTAAGCATGTCAGCCCCACCAGCCGAGAGTGCTCAGATCACGCTGCTCACTTGCAGCCTCACGGCCTTCTGGATCTAATGCCCTGTGGTTTTAAATAGCCCTCTCCTGCAACAGGAAGGAGAAAGTACCGTATTTCTTCAGGGCTTCAACAGGCTCTTAAAACAATGCTGTTTCTGTTTCAGATAATGCTACCCTGAAATGACCTGCCCATCCAGACTGCTGCTCACGCACCCAGTCAGTAATTAATTGACCAACTAACACTCTTAGAAAGGACATTGCTAAAGGCCCAGTGCTTGTGTCACACCGGGGAGGTTACCCAGAGGTTCACAATCCTGTTGCTGGCCTCGAGGAGGTTAGCCTCCAGATGGTGTTTGAGTCACCTTGGAGCTCACCATGGGCACAGGAAAAAAAAATAGTACAGTAAATGCCTTCCTTGGTGTCAGCCTGAGGACATTTGCCTATTCTGGAAATGTTTACACGGGGATTGCACTGTATGGAGCAATACACCGCATACATCTGCTTTTGTGGTTGTATTGTCCTTGTACATTTCCAGGGGCAGAGAGAGGGGCCCAAGGAAGATTCCTGGGCTCCCCCTGTGGGTCAGCACGGTCCCAGCAGCCTCGCTGGGGTTATTCATTCTTACATCACCCGGTGGGAAGCTTCAGGATTCTGCGTTGCAGAGGGAGAAGGCAGCTCTGAGGGGTGGGAGTGCTGTGCTCACAGGGCTGGAGCTGCGAGTGCGGGTTTGTGAGCTATGTGTTGTAGGCGTGGGCGATAATGTGGCACAGCAGGTTCCAGCTCATGAAGGGCCTTGGGTGCTGGCTAAGGAAGGGGACTTTCCTGGGAGCTGCAGGAGCTGCTCAAGGGCAGGACGGATCTGATCAAGTCTGCAGGGAAGCACAGTGGCATCTGCATGAGGGCTGGCAGGACAAGAGGTTGGGATTGTAGACAGAGACCAGAAGAGAGGGCTCTGGAAAGGCAAATCTCTTGTCCCTCCCCTCCTCCCCACACACAGAAGAATGGTCTCTGGACTCAAATGAATCATTTTAATAACCCAGTTTTAAATTTTATACCGAAGTCAGTAGCCTCTATATTAATTTGGATAATCAAAATTAGCTACTAAAGTCCGTGAGGGAAGCTTGTGCTGTGGGCAACTGCCTTGGTAGGAGGCTGCTATGAGGACAAGAGTGACAAGATTTGGCACTAGTGCTGAGGGGGTGCCCAGGGGGAAGGTGCCAATTGTGGATTTAGGCAGACTTGAGTTTGAAATCTGACTCGGCAGCCCATTTACTAGCCATAAGACCTTGAAAATGTCATTTAATCTCTCTGATCCCCTTTCCCTCACCTGTAAAATAGGTTTCATCGTCCTTCTCTTGCGTGATTATGGAATTAAGAGTATTCAAAGTGCCTAGCACACGGTTGGCACTCGGTGAACGTAGCTAGAGCGTGTCACCCCTGGGCCTGGTTGCTCGCAGTGGTGGCTGTCACCAGCCTGGCTCTGCCCTGTAGAGCAACAGCGCCCTTTAGTGGCCGAACAGGGAGTGACAGGTCTTCCAGGCACCCGGGCCCTGCTCCTGCCCCACCACCCCACCACCCCACCACCCCACCACCCACAGGTTAGAAGTCTCCTTTGTCCTCCACAGTCAGAGCTGACAACCTCTCAGACCCCAGCCAGCATGCACCTCTCAGAAGAGCCCGAACCCCACTGCGGTCAGCAGGTGACAGGCTCCACTGTCCCCGTACTGAAGGACCTCACACCCAGTGGGTTCTGAGCCCTGGGCTAAGAAGAAAACACAATCTGTAGTAGTCAGGGAACAGCTTTCTAGGGATGGCCATGACCTCCAACCCCTCCTACCCTACCCCCGAGAATAGTGTGAGTGGAAAGCAAAATGCCAGCTGCACAGCCAGGCGTTCCCCAGCAGAACAAGGAGGGAAGCCATTCAGCAAACACTGGACACCCACCCAGGCCCTTGGTTCCCACTAGGCTGCAGATACCACAGCCAGCACACACAAAGCCCTGCCCTCAGGTAGCTGACTATTTAGTGAGATAAGGACATTGGCCAAATAATCACCTGGATACATAATTGCAGACAATAATAAGGTTATGAAGGAAAGGTTCATCCAGAACCAGATAAGGTGTACTCTTTACTGCTCCCATCGGCCTCCTGAGCACACTGGTTATGGTGCTGCCCCTAGGCTGGGTGCACTGAGCATACATTTACATGTTCATTACTCTTTGGAGGTGGGCTGATGGCGCTCTGGGCTGTCCACCCCTCCAGCTGGTACACACAGTCAGGGAAGTCACCAGAGGATGAATAGGCATTACTAAGCACTGGGTTTTAAAAAGAACATTCCCAGAAGCAGTTCAAAGGTGCTGAGGTGGGATACCACGGGGCATCTTGGTGCACAGAAACCAAGGACAGGGACAGTATCGCTAGAGCATCAGGCAGGGGGTGGTGACCAGGAATGTAGAGGCCACCTCTAGTGCTTCTGCCTCCCTGCCATCCACCCACCCACCTCCCTTCACTGCCCAGGGTACTTCTATCAAGTCTTTTCTGGACTCTAGCCTTTTTTCCCCTTTTCTTTATAGCATCCTATCAACTGTGTCAGAGAATGTTTCCCCTTTCTCCCTTCTTTCCACAGAAAATCCTAAGTAAAAACTGGCCTTCAAAACCACACTCCCATACCTAAGCTGCAATGATTTCTTGCCCACCCCATGTGCCCAGCCCTGTACTAGGCAGGGCCAAAGATGAAACAGAAAATGTGGTCCTTCCTTACCTGTCTGTAGCTTCTCATGTCCCGAGTCCAGAGACTGCCTCTCAGCTACGTACTATTTCATTCTGAGCCCTGTTGAGGAAACAACACGTATACATGCTCCCTCTCTTTCTGAACATTCAGATCCACCCACAGGAGTCAGCCTGGTGGCCAGTCAGCTCATCTGGCGAGTGGCTTGAGGTACACGAGGAAAGAGTGAGCATCTGGAGTCTCAGCCCTGCTATTTTTTTTTAATTGTGTCCTTAGACTTTTCGACTTCTCTGGGCTTTGGTTTCTTCATTAATGAAGTGGGGAATAGCAAGACTTTCTCTGCCTGCCTTGCAGAGGGTTCATGAGGATCAGATGAGGCACTGCGGTGGTCCCTGGATGAGGTTCCTAAGATGGGTGCGACCCCTGAGGACATTTTCAGCACCCTACAGTGAGCTGAGGAAAATGAGAACAACAGAGGGAGGCATTCACAAAGGCAGGTTCATTCAACTGGAAGAACTGGCCTTTATTCCCAGACTGTGTCCTTCTTTGCATTGAAACTGCATTTATTTGGGCACTTGGGAGCACAGTTGGTTAAGCAGTTAAGCGTCAGACTTTTGGCTTCCGCTCAGGCTCAGGTTATGATCTCAGGGTCCTGAGATGGAGCCCTGCATGCTCAGCATGGAGTCTGCTGGAGTTCCCCCTCCCTCTGCCCCTCCCGCCCTCAAATAAATACATTAAAAAAAAAGAATTTATATTAGAACTTTATTTTATGAAATGAAGTTAGAACTTTTTTTTAATGTTTTCACTCAACAAAATAAAAGGGTAAATATTCAGTTTTGGGAAAAAACTTACTGCTCCGTGAAACTGCAAACCCACCCAAGTAAGTGAACCAGAACGCCCTCTGCAAACCACAGGTACTGCTCTTGCTGCCCCACCTCCAGGACTCCTGGCCACAGCCCGTGTCCTTGGTGGTTGCCTTCTCCTCCTGGCATTCAAAGCAAAGATTCTGGAATCTGGCCATGAGGGCTTCAACACTAGTTACGCACTTATGCACTTTCTAGCTGTGCATGATCATGGACACGCTGCTTATGCCAGAGTTTCAATATCTATAGCAGAGATAAAAGTAAGGCACATAAAATAGTGCATGGCACATATGGGCACTCAGTCTATGTGAGAGGTGATTATATAAAGATTTTTCCTCCCAGCTCCCCAGCTCCCCAGCTCCCCAGGTCACAGCTGCCTGTGCCAAGCCTTAAACCATTATGCCCTCTGCTCTCTGTCTCCATCTCCAAAGCCTTTCCAGATCTGCCTTTAGGGGCTAAGAAGCCATTGGCTTCCCCTGGAAAGTTCTGGGAAGGAAAATGTGGCAATCAGGACTGTTTCCAATAAGCAGAAAGAAGAAGAGTTTTAACTGTCCTTTTTCTTTCCCCCTTTACTTCTGAGACTCTGCCCATTGACTTGCAAAGGAGGAACTGCTTTTGGGTTTTCAGCTACCTTTTGCCACAGTTAAGCCAGGAAGGGAACTTGGAAGCTGAAGACCACCTGCTTGGCAGAGGCCAGGTGTTTTGGTTTGTTTGTTTTAAGGGCATCCTCTTCTACTTCAGTTTCCTTTTCTGAGGACACAGACTCACTATCCCTTCTGCTCGTGGCAGACGTGTGTGCTATTGGTCATTTGCTAAGAAGACAGTGCAGGACGTGCCTTCCTTGTTCATACAAACGTGTGCGGAGTTGGAGCATGTACTCCTGTTCCCATAAGAGAGAACTCACAGCCGGCCCTGGGTTGGGGCCAGCCCTTCCAGATTTGAGCATAAGAAGACAAGACATTTGGTCTGGGACTTCTAGAACAAGCTGAAAACACCAACTCGTACCCAATTCCACACTCTTGAGAGTCAGCCACTGATGCCACCTTGGAGCCCACAGAGGCCATGTGCTTTTGCTCTTGCTAATAGCTTGTGGTATCTGCATAACTGGCAGTTGGAGGTTTACAAACAATGGCATTTCCCTATTTTTTCATACTTTGAATAATATAAATAATGGACACCGCAGGGTTTTTTGTTCGACTCCCTACTGGTTTTGTCTGTAAGTGCCCCAACAAGCTTGCAGAGGGTTTTGCCTTTTAGAGTTGCTTTAATCCAAGCAACTGTCTGACTCCCTTTATCTGTGGTTCACTGGGCTTTCCCTTCTCTCCCTGCTCTGCTCACACCCCCAGCCTGGTGGCCAGTTGGCTCAGGTAGGCCATAAATGTCCCCATGAAAAGAGGCAACGGTCAAGCTCAACGTGAGAGTCACCCTAATTGGACAGCTCAGGGCGCAGCTGCCCCCATGAAAGCAGTGACGGTGCTCAGAAGAATGGAACATGCCAACTGGCTGTGCTGACCAGGGACCCCAGGAGCTCAGGCTGGGGCCCCTTTCCCCTGCTGTATGTATGTGGGCTGTGTGAAGAGAGGTGGACACGAAGCCTGGGTGGACCACCAACAATGCCCACATCACATTCATTCCTGAGCTTTGAAAACTGCTGACATAAAATTGTGCCTACAAATTTAGAGGGTTTGTATCCTTCTCTGGGGGGCCAAGAACCCCTCCACTGTCATATTTGAGCAGCTGCTACATGCTGCCTTGGAAGAGCTCACACCTTTCTGTCCCACTCCCCCTCAGAAACCTGCCGGTGTCCCCTCTTATTACCTGAACTCCCCCCCCACACACACACACACACACTGGTGGTGGCCCATGTCCCCTCCATCCAGGTTCTATCGCTCCCTAACAAGAGCCAGTGCTCTGGAGGCTTCCTGCATGTAGCCTTTGAACCTGCCACTCTCCCCCGCTGGATTGTTCTGCCTGCATTCTCCTCCTAAACAAATGCTACCCTACAGGCTGAGCCCACCCAGAAAACCCCACGAAGCTCAGCCTCATCTGAAGCCCGCAGCTCCTTCCCCCGTGGCTCCTGTGGGACACTGCGCTCTGGTGGTCAACTGGCTCTTAGAACAGAAGGATCTCGGGCAGCCCCCGTGGCGCAGCGGTTTGGTGCTGCCTGCAGCCTGGGGTGTGATCCTGGAGACCCAGGATTGAGTCCCACATCGGGCTCCCTGCATGGAGCCTGCTTCTCCCTCTGCCTGTGTCTCTGTCTCTGTGTCTCTCTCTCTCTCTGTGTGTGTGTCTCTATGAATAAGTAAATAAAATTTAAAAAAAAAAAAAAAAAACCAGAAGGATCTCCAACTTGCTCAACAGCAGAACAGGCCTCCTTATTTCCAGATGCCTTCTTCACCCCAACTGAACATCAGTCACTGAAGGAGTGCACAGCCCAGCGAAGGTCTGCATCTACACAGCTCTGCCTTTTTGCAGCTTGTCCAGATTTTCTCATTCTGTTTCCCCCACACCCTGGCTGGACTATGGCACTGAACCAGGTGCCATGACTCACTCAGGGAGGGGACATGTGACTCTGGCCTCCCCAGCTCAGGCCCTAAATAGCTGAGCCAACAGGGCCTGGGGCATAAATTTGCACTGGTTACACTGACTATGAGTCTATGACTATCCAGGAGCTCAGAGAAGGAGCAAATTAATTATTAGAGAGAAATGATTCCTTATCCCCAAGCTACTCCCTTATTGTCTCTGACCCTGGCAGGCCTGTAGTCTCCAAGAACCACAGACCATGCAGTGGGATTTCAACTGGAATAAATAGGAACCTGTTGAATGTGTTCTTTGTTTAACTCCACACATTTTGTTAGAGCATTTCCTATGTGCCTGTAATTGGTCTAGATAGTAAGGATATGCCAGCGAACAAACAGACAAAATCACCATCCTTCTAGAATGTCCTTCCTAGGGCAGCCTGGGAGAGGGGGGTGCTCAGCGGTTTAGTGTGCCCTTCAGCCCAGGGCGTGATCCTAGAGACCCAAGATAGAGTCCTTCATCGGGCTCCCTGCATGGAGCCTGCTTCTCCCTCTGCCTGTGTCTCTGCCTCTCTCTGTCTGTCTCTCATGAATAAATAAATAAAATCTCTTTTTTAAAAGAATGTCCTAGAGAAGAAAGGTAAGCAATAAATAAATCAATAAATAATAAAGCAATAAATAAATAAAGTGCAATATTTAGTATGCCTGATGGTGAAAGTAGTTTGGAGGAAAATAGTCGGGGAATGAGAAAAGAGACAAAGGGAGTATGAGAAGGTTTGGAATATTCAACAGGGTAATCAGAGAGTGATTTATTGATGAAGTGACATTTGAGCAAAGGCCTAAAGGAGAGGTGGGATCAAGCCCTGCAGAGAGCTGAGGCTTTCCAGACAGGGGGAGAACAAGTGCAAAGGCCCTGTGGTGGGGACAGGTCCAGGGTGATGGAGGGAAAGTGTGGAAGGCTAAGCAGCTACAGCAGAGTCAAAGTACTTGATGTTCAGGCCTGGGCTTGGGGTTCAGAGCAATTCAAGGTAAGGAAACAACACAGTCCTTGACTTCAAAGAAGCAAAGAGCCTCTAAAGCCTACACAGCAAATGCTAAAATAATAACACACGTAGAAAAGATCGAGTCCCAGTCTATACTGTGAGAGTTCAGAAGAGAAAGCTCGGGGCGCTGGAGCAGGCAGAGAGCGCTTCAAGGGACAGTGGAGGCCAGCTGGGTGGGCATTGAACAGGCAGGGAGGAAGGTGGTGTGGGCACAGTGCACGCCATGGGACATTCTAATCAACTATCAGCCGTGTTCCCTGTGAATGAGTCTCTGGAATTATTGCAGCTTGGGATTTTGGGAGACAGATCAACAGAGGTTGGTAATGTGCACATATTTTCTCCCAGGAGAGGCATTCTGTATCAAGGCCTCTGTCATTTCTCATCACAAAAGTCCTATTGCTATACAGTATGAATGTCTTCTAGGCATCACCATGAAAGCAGTGAATGAGGATTGGAGTGGAAGGGGAGACAACCAGCAAAGGAGGCTGGACTGCCCAGAGCCCTCAAGGGCTTTTTTTTTTTTTTTTTTTTTAGATTTTATCTATTTATTCATGAGAGACACACAGAGAGAGGCAGAGACACAGGCAGAGGGAGAAGCAGGCTCCCTGCAGGGGAGCCTGATGCAGGACTCAATCCCAGGACCCCGGGATCACGCCCTGAGCCAAAGGCAGGAGCCACCCAGGCGTCCCCTCAAGGGTTTTCTATGACACACATTCTTCCTGCTTCATCTTTGCCTCCTGACCACAGGCAAATAACCCTGGAAGATTCCTATTTTGAGCCCTTCACACATTTATGCCCTGCTGCTTTCCTTAGTTTGCTGCTTTATTCATTTGTTTAGTTACCAATTCATTCAACCAAATTTTATCCTCCTTACTCTGAGGTTGCCAGTGGCTACTTACTCCCACTCCATAAGCTCATCTGAAAACTTGACAAATCACCTTTAACAAGAGTCCAGTAACTGAAGATGCCATGTAGACAGCACCAGAAGAGGATCCCCGCCCTCCATTGCAGCCAGGACTAGCTCCCTAATGCATGAGTCCCATGAAGAAGAAAAATACAGGCTGTTTTGTTCCAAAGGCAAGGAAAGGGGTGCCTGACTGGCTCAGTTGGTAGAGCATGTGACTCTTGATCTCAGGATCTCAGTTCAAGCCCCATGTCAAGCAGAGAGCTTACTTAAAACCTGCAAAGGAAAACATGCCACTAAAGGCATTAAAATATGAATTTTTTTTCTTCCATGGACTTTCTTGCTCTCTCATAGTGTTTCTTTTTTAAAAAAAGATTTAATTTATTTATTCATGAGAGACACAGAGGGAGACACAGAGATCCCAGGACCCCGGGATCACAACCCGAGCTAAAGCAGATGCTCAACTACTGAGCCATCCAGGTGCCCCTCTCATGGTGTTTCTTACCTGCTCTTTAATGTTAAGCTTCCTTGGGCACAGGGATGTTTGTAGGACGAGTGCAAGCCCTCGCAGACACTGGAGGTGGGCTGTGTGCTGGGTGCATATGCACACAGCGCAGCAGCTCTGGGATTCCTCCTTTGACCAGCCACCAGACCGACATGCCACGTTCCAGGCACAGCCCACATTGGATGGCACAGCCCTAAAGGATGAAACGTCTATGCCAGCACATGCTCAGTCCCGGGACCAGCAGTGGGTGAGAGGCTAAGCCCTGCTGTGCCTGCCAAATGCACCATGACACTGGCAGCCCAGGGGAGGGACAGCTGCCATCATGCCTCTCCTCCAGACACCAGAGGGCACACATGCTCAACTGTCATTCTCTCTGTACCCTGGGGGTGGGGGGGTGGGGCAGAGATGGTGACAGCATCAAGGGGCAAGGGCAGGGAGCGGGGATCTGGGGTGGGGGGCATGGGAACCAAGGAGCAGGAGACAGCCAAGACCAGTCCCAAGGAGGCAGTGAGAGGCAGACAGACCTCCAAGCCCCAGTGCATGCTGCTTCATTCCATCAGGCTTTACTTAGAAAATGTAAAATCAAAGAGAACATCATTAAGAATGGTAAGGGGCGTCTGGGTGGCTCAGTTAGTTAAGCATCTGTCTTTGGCTCAGGTCATGATCTCAGGGTCCTGGAATCGAGTCCCACATCGGGCTTCCTTCATGGAACCTGTTTCTCCCTCTGCCTCTCTCTCTCTGTGTGTCTTTCATGAATGAATAAATAAAATCTTTTTTTTTAAATAAAATCTTTTTTAAAAAATTATTAAACTGTTTAAAGGTCAAAATAGCAAGACAGTGGCCACAGAGCGTTAATCCCAAGTACAGAACCCTTCTGAGGATGGAGCCCATGTGACCACACTGGTTGTACACCCATGAAACCATCTAGGCAACAACTTTCAACACACAAGTGTTATGGTTTAGGTCCTCTGCCAAGTCTGTTGCTCCCAGTAGCTCCTCTCAGAGCTGAGGTGGGTCCTCAGACTGGCATTAGCAGAGGCGTGAAGCTCCCCACTACATCAACGAGAACATCCACCAAGGCCTAAGGAGTATCGCCTGAGCATCCTCAGATCCAGATCTGCCTCATCAACTTCTTCCAGATGCAAAAAGCACCTCCGGGTCTTGGGGGCCTGGTTTGTTTGTGTCAGATATAATAACTCGCCTGATAGTTGCTTTTAAAAATTGGCTATGCTTCCATCTGCCAGCCTCTGAAATCAGGCCCATGTTTCATGTTTCCCAGTGTACCTTTGAGAAAAGTCCATAAGCCCATAAACACTTTCCTTTTTTCGCTCCAAGGAGCAGTTTAATCCTATTACTTAATACCACTGATTACCGAGGAGCTGTGTAGAGAATACCTTCTCTTTTAGGCTCCATTTCTCATCCTGGGGGACTGGATGAATATGCACCCACACTTCACTATGGGAGATTTCAAAAGCCTCAGAAGAAAATGAAAGCAGACTTTGAGTTAAGCCTTATAATAGAGAGGAAATACTAGGAGAGTTTTCAATTTTGTTTTATTTTATTTTATTTTATTTATTTATGATAGTTACACACACACACAGAGAGAGAGAGAGAGAGAGAGAGAGAGAGAGAGAGGCAGACACAGGCAGAGGGAGAAGCAGGCTCCATGCACCGGGAGCCCGACGTGGGACTCGATCCCGGGTCTACAGGATCGCGCCCTGGGCCAAAGGCAGGCGCCAAACCGCTGCGCCACCCAGGGATCCCGAGTTTTCAATTTTTTTTTGAAGATTTTATTTATTTATTCATAGAGACAGAGAGAGAGAGAGAGAGAGAGAGAGAGAGAGAGGCAGAGGCACAGGCAGAGGGAGAAGCAGGCTCCATGCAGGGAGCCCGACGTGGGACTGGATCCAAGGTCCCCGGGATCAAACCCCGGGCTGCAGGCGGCGCTAAACCGCTGCGCCACCAGGGCTGCCCCCGAGTTTTCAATTTTGATTTCAGAATCCATTTGTGGAGATCTTGCTTTACAAGAATAAAGAAAAGCCCCTAAGCATACTAATTTGTTTTAATACCCAGCCACATTACCAGGCAACTGAGAGCATGAGACTTGAGGTACTTGGTCCTACAAACCTATGTGAATAAATCCCAAATCTCTGTTGGGCCCTTGTCCTCTGTCTGCACAGAAGCTGGCACCTGCGGGCCTGGCAATGGTGGCGGAGTCGAGAACCAGTAGGGCCAGGGCCAGGGCCAGGGTTGGCGGTGTAGACGCAAAATTCCATCCAAGGGCCTTGTGGCCAGGAAGGGTTGAGGGGCCAGGAGTCTGTCCCTCTGTCTTTCCCAAAGATGGGAAAGGACTTCGGAGTCATCCTCGGTTCTGGGCGCTATACCACACTTCGGCCAGCAGAGGGCAGCACAGCATTTCAGAATGGTCGTTCGAGAGCTTTTAAAAAACAAAGAATTTGAGCCCTCTACCTGCCACTGCCAACCCCCTTCATATTTTTCGTTCAGGTCTTGTGTTTTTTTTTTTTTTTTTTTTCCTGTTTCCTCTTCTGGGGAACCTGAAAGTCATCTGAAATTATTCCGTTGCTGTTTTGAGGAGAAAAAATGGATTTCCTCTTTGGGATGGACTTGAGCAAAATTAGACCAGAGTAGACCCCAGACCCCCAACCCAGGCAAACCCAGCTGGACTTTCTTTGCCTCCTTCAATGCCATGAATGAACTCTCATTTTCTTTTTTCTTTCTTTCTTTCTTTCTTTCTTTCTTTCTTTCTTTCTTTCTTTCTTTCTCTCTCTCTCTCTCCTTCCCCCCACCCTCTCTCTCACTCTCTCCCTAAATACAGAATTTGCTGCCCATTAATATAAATATCAAGCCTCAGTGAACAGGTGAGGAAAACATTTGAGGAGGTAAAACAGGTTGAACCAGTAGTGTGGGAGTCTGAATCTCTGGCCCCAGAAACACCCAGAAACGCCCCTAACGTGAGGTCCTGCTTCTGAGCTCTGGACCCAGCTCTCCTTGGCAGTGCTCGTCAGGACGGAGCCTGTGTAAATGTGCCTTATGAGCGCCAGAGAATTTCCTTTGTGAGACGTGTTTTCCTTTACCCTGTCTCAATCCACAATGAGCCAAATCTTGGCCCAAGCTGCAGGCTGGTGTTTGCTTGTGAGACCCCTCCTTGCCTTTTCCTTTGCCTTCTGGGCTCCTTCTGGGAACCAGTACCCTTTCTCAGCTCCGAGGGAATCTAGAGGAGGATTTCCGCCCATGCTGTTCTGGAGTTTTACCTCTGCGTCTTTTGTCTGGTGGTGTGTGGTTCTCCATTAGAAGTCCTACTGGGGAAAAAGAAAGCATTCACCCTTCACAAAGTGTTCACATTTTCTTAAAAACTTTTTTTTTTTTTTTTAAGTTCAAGCCTCATGTTGGCTATAGAGAATTTTTTTTTTAATTTTTTTATTTATGATAGTCACACAGAGAGAGAGAGAGGCAGAGACACAGGCAGGGGGAGAAGCAGGCTCCATGCACCGGGAGCCCGATGTGGGATTCGATGTGGGATTCGATCCCAGGTCTCCAGGATTGCACCCTGGGCCAAAGGCAGGCGCCAAACCGCTGCGCCACCCAGGGATCCCCTGTAGAGAATATTTTTTTAAAAAACTCCAAGATGAAAAGTCACATGCCTTACTGACTGAGCCAGCTAGGTGCCCTCAAAAGGTATTTATGTTTTAACAGGGGGACAATAAGCCAACAGAATTGAATTCTAGAGGTGAGATTCCTGGTTTGGGGAGAGATATATGTAAATGTTAGAAGACTTAGCTAACATGTAAGGAGCTGCCTCTTCACCTATCGCTGAAGCCAGCCATGAACCTAACCAGCTGATACAGGGCCAAACACACACAGCCAGGTCTGGTAAGCAAGCACTTTTGCCAAACACTGTTGATTTCACAGAGCCAGAGGTGATCTCATCACAGCAGCTGGGTTCTCTATTACCTGTCCCAAGCACAGAATCACCTCTGATAACCTCTGCAGGTGGTAGTCTAGCCTGAGCAACTCCTATATATTCCATATGGGGCTGAGCTCTGAAGCCTGACACCCACCTCCTCCCAGAAACTACCTTCCCTCTCCATATTTTTCTCATGGACTCTTAATAGGTTGTTTCAATAGTCTCGCTCCATTGAGCAATATTACATGCTTAGAAAGATGATGTCAGGCTTTATTGCACACTCCCATTACAAACTTCGGCATGTAATATTTATATACACACTGGCTCTCACCAAGGAACTCAAAGCCACTTATGGATCCTGTCTCATTTGCTCCCACAGGAGTCCTGAAGTTAGAGGGGCTCATCCTATCTGGGAATAAAGAGAGCGGAAGAAACTTCCACGCCTTTTATGATATTTGAAAAGACTCCTCCAAGGTTAGTCATGGTCACCAATCTGTCCTTTATCGACATTTTGAGTTGATAATCCTAGGGCCATCTTGTGAAACTTGCACCTTGCAGGATGATAATCATTTAGGGGCCAGTATTTTCCTATTGAGTTTATAAGGCAAACTGAAACATTGCAGATTCTGTGACAAAGATCAGCATAGGGACTGAGGCTTAAGAGCCTGCTGGATGGCCAACCAGAGCCAGGCCTTGGCAAGTCCCAGAGGATAAGCATAGGGTCTCAGGTAAAATGAGATGTTAGAAGCACCTAGACATTTTCATTCAAATGGCGATTCATTATTGTATAGAAACACGAGAAAAGGTGAAAATGCAGACGTGTGACAGCATATTTGGGGAAATGACAACAGGGTAATGAGTGTGGGTGGGAGAGTGAGTACAAGTATAGTGTGAGAAGCAGCTAGAGAGCCAGGCTGGTGGCCAAGCCAGGCAGATCCTGTAGACTCTAACAAGATTTGTAGACTTTATTCTGATGGTTCTCTGACCAGCTTAAATAAGACAGTGGCCTGATCAGATTTGCATTTTGAAAGAATTGCCAGGGCTGTGATGAAGGGAAGTTAGAGAGGCCAGAGTAGGTGCAGGAAATCGAGCTGGAGTCTCCCATGGGAGTCAGGCAGTGGCCAGTCATCTAGACTAGAAGGGTGGCAGTGAAGGCAAAGAAAGTCAGTGGATCTGAGAGCTATTTAAGAGAGAAATCCCAAGGAGGATGTGTAGAGAAAGGACCCAATAGCAGAAATTGGATTTCCCAGTGCAAACTCTGGTATCTAATATAATTTTATATCCTTTGTACTGCCGGGTATAAGGGAGGGTAGTAGAGTAAAAGGAGAGTCTAATACTGTAATTCTCAAACTCCTACTATGTGCCAGGCACTGCCTTAAGCTCTTATAATCTATAGGATAATAAAGGCTTTGGAATAAGGATTCCAGCTCTGCATTTATCAGCTATTTAACATTGGACAATTTACATAAACCTTTTCATCTATATAATGGAGTTATATGGGTTTTCATTCAGGGTAGGGAGAATGGGCAGAATGGGTAAAGTGGGGAGAGGTTAAGTAATTTACTCATCATGTTTACCTCTGGTCATAATGGAGTAACAGGAATCAAATTTACCTTCTCGTCATAAACAACCAGAAAACTAGACAAAAATGCATAAAACAAATGTGATTAGATGTTGGACAACAGGCAGCACAAGTCTGTGATCCCTAAGAGAAGGGAAACACATGAAGTGATTGCCCTGGTTTTCTGCCTGGAGACAAGTTCTAGACCATGGCACAGGGATTGCCCAGGGGACTTGCTGAGTTGAGAGAGAGATCACAGTGCTGGGGTAGAGGGTGGACAGAAGCTGGAATTTGTAGGACAGAATTCCAGAGAGGATGGAGTTACAAGAGACAAAGAGCTTGAAGGTCTCCTTGAATCTTTGCTCAATAGTAAAAAGAGTGGAACTCCATGAAAACATGAATACAGGTGAAAAGAGAAATGGAAGGTCTGGGGAACTAATGGAATTTCTAGAGATGGAATTAGCAAGAGAACATCCTGCAAGAGAAAAAATTACTGAACTTGTGACATAGCAATAGAAACCAACCAAAATGAAGCAGGAGGAAAAAACACTAAAAAAATGAACAGGGGCACCTGGGTGGCTCAGTCAGTTAGGCAGCCAACTCTGGATTTCTGTTCAGGTCATGATTGTGGGGTCCAAGGATCGAGCTCTGCATCTGGCTCTGCACTTAGCAGGAAGTCTGCTTGAGGACTCTCTCTCTCCCTCTGCCCCTCCTCCTACTCACTCTCTCATTCTCTCTCTAAAATAAATCTTAAAAAAAAAAGTAAAACATGATCACAATATTCCAAAAGGTGGATGAGAGAGAAGAATTAGAAGTATATTGTTGTAAGGTTGTTATATTTTATATGAAGGGGTATAATAACAGTTAAAGGTATTCTGGGTTATGTATTTTATCCAAGGTTACACATACGGTGGAGCTAGGAGCAAATCAAATACTGCCAATTGCAAAGCCTTATATAGAAGGGATGATGGGAATACAGGCTTGCAGAGCTGTCGAATCTTAGATTGCTCCAAGACAGAGTTGTACAAAAGCTATGGGAATTAAGCCCTTTCATCCCTGTAGTGAGTAGAATTGTGTCTTCTAAAAAGACATGTCCAAGTCCTGAGCCTCTGTACTTGTGAATGTGGAGGGTTTGCAAATGTCAAGTTAAGAGGAGGTTAGGGGGACCTGGGTGCCTTGGTCAGTTTAATGTCTGCCTTCAGCTCAGGTCATGATCCCAGGACCCTGGGATCAAGTCCCACATACGGCTCCCTGCTCAGAGGGCTGCCTGTTTCTCCCTCTCCTCACTCTTTCCTCTGCTTGTGCTCTCTCTCTCTCTCTCAAATAAATAAGATCTTAAAAAAAATAGGAGGTCCTACTGGATTAGGGTCAACCCTAATTGAAAGACTGGTGTCCTTTTGAAAAGAGAGAAATTTGGACACAGAGAAGAAAGAGATACAGGGAAAGTGCCATGTGGCAATGGAGAGGCATAGACTAGAATGATACTTCCACCAGTCTAGGAGCACTCGGGATTGACACAGCCACTAGAAACTGGAAGAGACAAGGAAGGATCCTTCCCTAGGGTCCTCAGAGGAAGCATGGTCCTGTCAACACTTTAATATTGGACTTCTGGCCTCCAGAACCATGAGAGAATAAATTTCTATTGTTTTAAGTCACCAAGTCTGTAGTACATTGTTACAGAAGTTCTAAGAAACTAATACAGGGGCACCTGGGTAGCTCAGTCAGTTAAGCGGCTGCCTTTGGCTTAGGTCATGATCCCAGGGTCTTGGGTTCGAGCCCCACTTTGGGCTCCCTCCTCAGCGGGGAAGCTCCTTCTCCCTCTGCCCCTCCCCCTGCTTGTGCTCTCTCTGTCTCTCTCAAATAAATAAATGAAACCTTTTTTTTTTTTTTTAATTTTATTTAGGGCAGCTCCAGTAGCTTAGCGGTTTAGCGCCGCCTTCAGCCTGGGGCCTGATCCTGGAGACCAGAGATCAGTCCCACATAGGGCTCCCTGCATGGAGTCTGCTTCTCCCTCTGCCTGTGTCTCTGCCTCTCTCTCTCTCTCTGTCTCTGTCTCAAGAATAAATAAATACAATCTTAAAAAAAAATCCCTTAACTTTAAAAAAATAAAATAAAATAAAATTTTATTTAAATTCAACTTGCCAACATATAGTATAACACTCAGTGCTCATCTCATCTTGTGTCCTCCTTAAAGACCGTCAAAATAAAATCTTTAAAACAAAAATAAGGAACCAATATAATCCTGAAAACTTGGAGTTCCCTTATGTTCCCAGTGTTTGCAAGGTGGAAAAGCGCTGGGGGCCCATGTAGGAAGTGAATGTGGACAGCAAGGCTCTAAGTTAAAAAAAACAAACCAGCTTCAAGATTGAAGAGCCAAGAGCCATGAAGGAGGGAACTGGTTGGGCTGGTTTTCTCATAAAACTCGGTGACTTTAATCCCAACCAGGTTGAATTTTAAAGTTAATTGCCTCAGTGAGGAACAAGTAATGCTTCCTTCCACAGTTTGTTGTGTGTGTGTGTGTGTGTGTCCATCTGGTGGCCCTGTGTTAGGCCCACAGGGGAAAGCCGGGTGAATCAGATGCCCTTGATCTTGAGAAGCTATTTCTAGGAGGAGTCACCTCAGTGACAGGTGTAATGGACCAGGTCAATGGAATTAGTCAGGAAAATGAGTAACCAGCTGCAGGGGCTCAAAACCAAGAGTGATTCATTCCAGCTAGAGGAGGATCACCCAGATTGCTTCAGGAGGAAGAGGAGACACAGCACCAAATGATGCCTGACAGTGGAGTCTGCTGTCCCACGGACAAGCTGATCCTCTCTGTCAAATAGATACAAATGGAGGAAAACAAATTACCAGGAACGCTGGTGTTCTTCCAGGGGATGTTTCACAATAATTAGGTAGTAGTGCTCTCTGCTTAGTGGAGAGGTCTAAAGCTGTCTAGCCCTGACTTGAGCTGGGGGCAATTCTCTGGGCTCTCAGAGTCTCTTCTTTTCCATTCTGATTCTCCACACGGTGCCGGTGTTCTTCTCCACACTCTGCAGAGGTTGAGGATGGTGGCGAAGCTGGAGGAGGTACAGAGTGATGGGGAACTGTTAATGATCTCTTATCAACTACATTTTGTTGGAGAGCTGGTGGTGTAAGGAGAGGGCGGACCCTTGTCTAAAATTTGCAGGAGTCAGGGTAAGAGTAGAGCCTGCATGTCTCAGCTCCATCCACATTGCCAAGAGGTGGCGCCCCTTGGCCCCACTTGGGCCTCCCCAGTAGCATGGCCCACAGTCTGGAAAAGGGACCCCAAGAACAGGCTGTGTGAACCCTGAAAGCAAACATGACCCTTTTCAAGCAAGGAACTTTGGTGTCCTGAGTACCCAGAATGTGGTCTAGAAGGGAGGTACAGGCTGTGGTCAGCATATTCTTGTGGCCCTCTTGACCCTTAACCCACGAGAAGAGACATGGCTGGAACAGGCCTGGAGCAGAACCCTCTAGAGCCTGGAACCTGAGCTGGCTGATCCTTAGATTTCTCTGAGTCTAACATAGAATTGAGTAGGAGCACTCTTAAACTCAACATGAGCTGATACTGAGTTTCTTGTTTTTTTTCTGGTAGCTGGACAAGCTAATACCAATCATCACAGCAGCCTATGTAAAGAATTTCATGGAGGGTATGTGTCAGAAGCAGTGGTTCTCAACTGGGGGCAGTTTTGCCATCCGGGACATTTCCAGTGTCTGCAGGCATTTTCAGTTGTCACGACAGTAGAGTGCTACTCACATCTCATGGATAGAAGCCAGGGAGGTTGCAAAATATCCTACAACTGTGTCCTACAATAAGCCCCCCACAATAAGCCATGATCCAGCCCCAAATATCAATAGTGCATGGTTTGGTACATGAATTTTCGGTATCTTGAGTATGTGGACTTGCGTG